TAGACTGACATCATTGATTCTCAGCACTCTGGAGAGGTCTCTGACAGCAGATTTCCTGGGTGCAATTCATCTTTTGATTTCCTGACTGCTAGTTTCAAGAGTGCTGATTGTGGAGTCAAGGAAGCTGTAATAGTTAACAACCTCAATCTCTTCTTTGTCTATCAAGGTGCTGCAATTTGGCCTAGTGGTGAGAATCTTTGTCTTCTTGATAGTGAGCTTCAATCCATATTAAAGACTACAGTCCCTGACCTTCTGCATCAAGTGTTTCAAGTACTCCTCAGTTTCAGCAAGCAAGGTTGTATCATCTGCATAACGTAGGTTGTTGATGAATCTTCCTCCAATCCTGATGCCACATTCCTCCTCATAAAGCCCAGCCTCCCAAATGATCTGTTCTGTATACAGATTGAAAAGGTATGGAGAAAGGATGCATCCCTAATGCACTCTTTTCCTGATTTTGAGCCAGTGGTTTCCTTGCTTTGTTCTGAGGACTGCTTCCTGGTCCAAGTATAGGTTTCAAGTGAACCCAATCAAGTGTTCTGGGATTTCCATTCTTCTCAAAGTTAGCCACAATTTGTTGTGAACAAGTGCCAGTCAAATGTCTTTGCTTAGTCAATGAAGCACAGATAGATATTTCTCTGTTACTCTTTGCTTTCTGCTAAGAACCACCTGACATTGGCAATAACATCTCTAATGCCACAGCCTCTTCTAAAGACAGTTTGTAGTTCTCTGTCAATGTACTATTTCAGTCATTTTTTGAAAACCCTATGTGCATGTTCAGAATAGATCTCTCTGTGTCATTAAAATGACAGACAATTCTGAATTACAAAATTGGCAAAAGATATGGAAAGACTTTTCACAGAGGAAGACATTCAGATGGCCAAAAGACACATGGAGAAATGCTCGAACTCATTGGTAATAAGAAAAATGCAAATCAAAACCATCGTCAGATACCATCTCGCTCCATTGGAAGTGGCAAAGTTTAACAGGATTGCAGGCAAGAAATGTTGGAGAGGATGTGGAGAGATTAGAATTATCGCACAGTGTTGGTGGGATTGTAAAACGGTACAACCACTTTGGAAGGTAGCTTGGCATTTCCTCAAAAAGCTGAACACAGAGATCCTATAGGATTGAGCTATTCCACTGTTACAAATACACTCTGAGGAAAATAGAAATGAGACACAAATGGAGATTTGTATACTGGTGTTCATAGCAGCATATATCACAATAACAAGAACATGGAAACAGCCCTAATGTCCATCAATAAATAAATGGATAGAGAAATTGTGATACATTCAAGTTATGGAATACTAGGCAGTACTCAGGAGTAATGCTTTTGAAAAATACTATATAATATGGGAGAGGACTGGAGAGCATTATGCTGAGTGAACTGAGTCTCAGAAGGACAAATACTGCATAAGACCATTATTGTAAAAACAGAAGGGTAACTAGTAAGATGTATATGGATATCAAAAGAGAGAAAGGAAGGGAAGGAGTAGGGACTTGGGGGGACTTGAAAGTTTGCTGGGAGGAGAAAGGGGGTGAATTAGGAAAGATTCAGAGGGGATCTGAAAAGATGGGGTGATAGTGAGAACAGATTAATGGTGATTAATTTTATAAGACATAATGAATAGGGATGATTGTAAGAAACACAATGGAATAAATTTTTAAATGACATGTTTATTCTCTACATTATATTTATCTGTATTTTATAAATTATATTTACAATGAGCTCATATTACCTTCAGCCACAAAACCAAGAATATTAGCTTATAAGAGGTATTTGGGCTACAGCAACCGTGGAAAATCACCATGCCTTTGTTGTTGTTGTTGTTGTTGTTATGCGCTGACTCCTAGCAACCCTATGTACATTAGCTCTGAAAGCTGCCCTATCTTGTGCCAATCTCATCATCTCTGACAGACCTAATCCCACTGCTCCAGTCACTAAGTCAATCCATCTCATTCTAGGTCTTCTTCTCCTGCACTGCCCCTCCACCCTACCAAGCATGATGCCCCTGTCTAAGGAATGGTCCTTTTTGACCACGTGCCCACAGTATGCAAGACAGAACCTCAAAATCCTTGCCTCCAGGGAGCAAACTGGTTTCACCCTCTCTAGGTCAGATCTGTTTGTTCTCCTGGCGATCTACGTTATGTTCAACATTCTTCTCCAGCATCACAACTCAAAGGCATCAATACTTCCATCATCCTTAGTTATTGTCCAGCTCTCATCTGCATAGCAAGTAATTGTGAAGACGATGGGGCTTACAGATGTAAATATTTCTGTAGAATTTTTATAAAAGTTATTCAACATTTTGGTTCAGGAGCACACAACTGAAATCTCTCAGGAACTAAGAACTAATCCCTCATTGTGGAACCTTCTATATACTTGCCAATTCTGGTTATGACCAGGGGATTTGAAACCAGAGTAGATGATTAGCCTTTTTCTCAAACACAGGCAGACATGTCAATCTAGAGAGGAGTGTCAAAATGGACAACAGAAACAAAGGTGAATTTGCATTTTAGAGGTTGATAAATATAGACAGTTGAACTAGACTTACAAGAAACAGATATAGCCTATAATAAGCAGTGGGCAGTGGCCTGGACCAATTTCAGTTTTTAAGTATGGTAGTTTCATAGATAAGGACTGTGTTGACATAAAACTGGCACAAGGAAGTTTCCTCTACTGTTTCTTGGATGTTATTGCTGGTAGTGATTGAGTTGGTTCCCATTCATGGAGACTCCATGCAACACAAACAGAAGTATGCCAGTTGTTGTTGTTGTTGTTGTTAGGTGCCACTGAGTACAACTCACAGTGATTCTATGAACAGGAGATCTGAACCCTGTGCCATCTTTACAATCTCTGACACTCTTGAGCCCATTGCTGCAGTCACTGTGTCAGTCCACCTGGTCAAGGGTCTTTCCTCTCCTTTGCCATACCACCACCCTTTCAAGCACGATATTCTTCTCTAAGGAATAAACTCTTCTAGCAACATGACCAAGGTATGTGAGATGCAGTTTTATCATCTTTGCCTCCAAGGAGCATCTGGCTGCACCTTCTCCAAGACATATGTGTTTGTTCTTTGGTCAGTCCAGTTCAGAGCTCTTCTCCAACACCACAGTCCAAGGCATCGATTCTTCTTGTCATTCTTATTCACTGGGCAGCTTTCAACAACATGGCAAGTGATTGAAAAGTCTGGATCAGGCACTTTCATTCTTAAACCAATGTCATGGCTCCTTAATAATTTGGAGAGGTCCTTGACGACAGACGTTCCCAGTGTCTCCTGATCTCCTGGCTGTTGGTACCAAGTGTATTGATTGTGGATCCAAGTAATATGAAGTCATTGACAGTCTCAATCCTTTCTCCATTTCTCCAAAATGGTGCTTAGTCCTGCTCTATTTTCATGACTGGAAGTAGATCACCAGGACTTTCTTCCTAGTCCATCTAAGTTTGGAAGCGTCAGTGTATCCTCTTCAGCATCCTGGGAACCTGCAGACCCCGACTGCCAAATGGGAGTTATCTGGGCATGAGGCACTTTGGCTGGTAAATCAAATCAGAGTGTACCACAGTGGGATTATGCTCTCCAGGGTCTACAATGACTCGCTTTTCAAAAAGAGCTCCAGGAGGCTTTTCTTCTGAGGATTCTCCGTGTGAACTAGAACCTTCCACCTTTCAGTTAGCAGTCAAACCAGTTAACCTTTTGCATCACCTGGGAAATCTAGTGGGGCTACAGTTGTCTGGGTCAGCAGTGGCAGCTGAGGGTGGTAGCCATGACGTCTTCCAGAGCCACTGTGCATCTCCTCTGAGGGGAGGGGTTGTGGTTCTCCCTTGTGAAGCCTCTTTTTTATTTGGCTTGCATTTTAAAAAGCGGTTTCCATCCGTTCACGCTACTAAAGTAGCTTGTCCTAAAATCTGGGGAAAGCTCTCTAGTCGGTGCAAATGGCTTGTGTTCACCTATTATCTGGAAGGTTGATGAGTTCAAAACCACCCAGCAGAAGAAAAGAGCTGGCAATCTACTTGCATTAAGGTTGCAGCCAAAAAAGCCACGGAGCACGGGTCTATGCTGCAACACAAGGGGTCATCATGAGCTAAAAGCTACTCAACGACTTTTAACAATCTGGTGAGATGGGACAGCGGGCTACTGTAGTCACTGAGGAAAAGGAGGACCCCTCTTTTTTCAATTATTATTAATTTTAATGAAAATTTACAGAGATTTTGGATTTCCATTCATTCCTTGTTGCACTTTTCTCCCTGCCCACCCCTCCCCTCCAGTTCGTTCTTCTCTTTGAAAAGGAAAAGAAAAATTCTTTCATTGTTCTGCAATCCCTCCCCCCAAGTCTACTCCACTATGCAGCCTTTGTTCTAGACTCCTGTCATGACAATAATACCTAATCATATAGCCCTTTTAATCAGTTCTCTTCCTCATCTGTTTCAATGCAGTATACATAATTTATCCCATCTTTCTCATTCTCCCCCTCAACCCTATGTCAGTCCCGTTTTACAACAGTGGTGCAATGCAGTATTTATCCTTTTGTGACTGAGATATTTCACTCAGCATAATGAGGAGGACCCCTTTTAAATAAGATTTTGAAGACTGAACAAGAACCAGCACGGGAAACCGTAGGAGGAATATGGAAAGGGGTATTCCAAGCAAAGAGAACAGGAAGCCCACAATCTTGAGTGGAAAAGAGTTTAGAGCAGAAGCTGGAAGATTCAGGTGGCTGGAAGACAGGAATAGGAAGAAGAATGTAGAGAAGGTCAACTTTCTCAAGGTGCCAAACTCTAAAGGCTTGTTCTAGCTGCAAAGCAGAAGAAGTCTCCAATGCCTCTCTCCTCCTCCAGGTGTGGAACGTCCGCAGCCTCCCTGTGTTATTGTTGTCGCCATGGGGATGGGCGCTCTCAGTTCCACCGACTCTGAGAGGCGAGGAAGGAGTTTGGCGTAGTTAGGGGTTCTTACCCCACAGCGTGGGAGTCCCGGCACAGGCAGGGACGCCAGAAAGGCATCATGCCAGTGCTGGTCCCCCCTGCTGAGCGCAGCCAGAACACGCTCGTGGGAGCCCCAGCATGGCACAAGGCGGCCCAAGCTGCCACGCTGCGGGCGAAGAAGCTGACCGACCGGTGCGGTCGCGAAGTCGTGGCCATGTGGCAGCCCAAGGACAGCGTGCGCGACCCGAACGTAGCTCACCACCTCTGCCGCGCCGCCTACATCCAGCCCTGGCGCTTCCGCGTGGAGATGGTGAGGGGCGGCGGCAAGGTGGAGCACCCGCCGCCCGGTGACGGCGTCACGCTGTGGAAAAGCAAGATGAAGCCGCCCCCGTGGCACGCACCCCTCCCCACGTCCCTGCACCGCGACGCGTACGCCCTGCAGACCGCAGAGGTGGTGCACGCGCACGCCCGCGGAGCGCGCTACACCGCCGCGCGCCTCAGCCGCGCGCAGCACCAGATCAACAGGCAGCTCCAGCAGCTGCTGCGCCGCCGCAAGGCCACCAGCCGCAGGCTCGGCGAGGTGCACAAGGGCCTGCTCGTCAACCAGCAGAGCGCCAAGCTGCGTGGCTACCGGCCCAAGTGCGAGAAGGTGGGACACTCCCCCAGGCCCCGTCTCATCTCCCGGTGCTGAACCGAGGGAGGAAAATCATTCCTGGAGGGTGAACGTCCTCAAACCCCAACCCCAATGAGAGGAGGGGAAGATAGGGACACCCCAAAACCCTCAGGGTGAGACTATCCCCAAAGGAGGTTCAGTTCCCAGCAACCTCCCTCCCAGCTCTTAGGGGGAAACGCTCTACTTTTCAGTAAGGGAGCTCCAGAGTCCGACTAGATCAAATTCCTTCCAAAGGGTAAAACTGCTAACTTCCATCCAAGAGGATAAACACACACTCAGCCTTCAGCTGGTCCCAATTCAGATGAAATTGTTCCCTAAAGCATTGAAAACGCCACACATCCCAGACTCAGGGAATGAGACACCACCCCCTAACCCCACTCTCACCTCACCCCCATCTCGAGACCCCATCCTGGGAGAAAGGAACAGGTCACTGCCTGCAGAGTGGGACCCTAGCTACCAGTCCCCATCCCTGGGGGAAGATGAGAACTCTAATTAAAGTCCACTAAAGAGAAATTCCTACCCTAAAAGCTGAGAACCTCCCAGATTTCCTGGAGAGAAATTGTTGCAGGAATTCTACCTCCTGCCCAGGGACTCCAGGTGAAGGAGCATTACTACAAGCTCTTTGTTTATTTTTGTTTTTGTTGTGTGCCCACGAATCAGATCCCCGACTGGCACATGAAGAGATTGTTCTTCCTTCTCCAGTGGAGCATCTGAGAGATTTGAACCTCATGCTTTAGGGATTGCAGCGCAGCTTCTTGCCACCAGGCCACCAGAGCTCCCTTACTATAAGCTCTTTTGGTGAAGCAAGGAAAATTTTATTGTCTGCAAGGAGCGCTGCCAGAGGCCACAGCCTCTTAAGGGTCAGGCTGCCTGAAAGCAAAAAGTTCTCTGTTTATATAGGCTTATAAGGTAGTGGTAAGGGTCTCTTTTCTATTGGCTAGTTTTACATACATTGTGATTGGTTAGTTAATCCTTTGGGGCAAAGGGGTTATAAGTCAAGTACAGGAGGAGTAAGGTCATAGGTTAGTTAAAATTCCCTTGTTACGTTACTGGGCAACTGCCCTCCCGCAGCTGGACCAATTTTTCTGTTACGTTTTGCTGAACTTGTCTTTCCTTTACATAGCTAAGCCTGCCGCTGCTCCTGGGGGTCGAGTCTGCTAACTAGGTTTCCTTTCTGCTTAGTTTGTGTCTTCTTGGCCTTGGCTTGCCTCAAAAATGAGACCATCACCTGGCCCCCAGTCCGGATGGTCTCAATCTACAAAGGCAACTCTTCATTCTCGAACAAGACTCCTTCCACTTGTAGCAAGATGAGGAGATAAAATAATCTTGGTGGAAAGGATCCTCCAGCGCCCAGCTCCAGATATTAAGAACAACTCTCCCACTTAAGTTGAGTGGCCTCCATCCCATTTACTAATCTCAAAAAGAAACCCACAGCCGCCGCATACTCCAAAGACTAAAACACCTCCAAGGAAGAGTTCTCTGGAATGATAGAAGTCTCAGAAAGGGAGGCCCGGTGAAAAGAGCGAGCTTGTTCTCATCTCCATGTACCTGCTAAACAACAACCAAAAATCCCAACAAAGCAAAAATTACACAGAAAGATCTTATTTCCTTTCAAAAGGATTCATGAACCAGCAGCCTGCTCCCAGCAAAAGCAGGAAGCGCTCCACTACCTGAAACAAAAGCAAGCTGTGCTTATATTAAAAAGCAAAGCATTTCCACATATGCCGTGCAGAGAGCAAATTGTGCAAAGCAGATTATGTTTAGTCAAAAGGATCTATTTCATGTCTAAGTGAAAATGTCTAAGCAAATAGTCGAAATGGGTGCACAAGGGAAAGAAGACTATGTAGATCAATACGGTGAAATATTGTTAGCTGTTGATGAGCTGACTATTATTCATGGACACCTCCTGGGTGTAGAGTCACTCTGCTCCATAGATTTTGCAGGCTGTGGTCCTTTACAGCAGATTGTCTGTCAGGCCTGCCTTTCAATCACCCCCTGGGTGGCTTTGAACCACTAGCCTTTCCAATAGTACACTATTATGCAATATTATGCAGCACTCAGGAGCAATGCTTTTGAGAAATAGCATACAACATGGGAGAGGCTGGCGAGCATTATGCTGAGTGGACTAACTCAGTCTCATAAGGACAAGTACTGCATTAGATCATTATTGTAAAAATAGGTTTACTAGTTAGATGTGTACCAAAGTCAAAAGGAGGAAGAGGAGGAATGAATGCAGGGGTGGGGGGGGGTGAAGGGGGAGGAATCTCAAGGTCACAGAGTTTGGTGGACAGAGTGAGTAGATGAAGGAAATAGGAAAGGTCCAGTGGGAACCTGAAAAGGTGGGGTAATAATGGGCATGGATCAACGGTGATTAATTTTGTAAAACACAATATATGGGAATGATAGTCTGAAACAGTGTGGATGGAGGGATGCATGAAACATGTTTGTAAATGAAACATGGTGTATACAACTTTTGTATGTAAACCAATATAACAATTTTTTTATACATTTTAATGAAAGTTTATCATGACCTTGGGTTTCCATTCATTCATTTTTGCACATTTTCCTCCCTGCCCCCCCCAGTCCCAGTTTGCTTATTTCTTTGGGAAAAAAGTTCTTTCATTGTTATACAGCTCCCCCCCACCCCCATCCCAACCACTTTACGATGAAGCTCTTATTCTGGACTCTTGCCATGCCAATACCTAATCAAACATTCCTTTTATACAGTTCTCTCCCTGTTTCAATGTTGTGTACATTATCTCCTCTTTTCTTAGTTTCTCCCCAGCCCCCATGTCAACCCTGTTTTATAATAGTGGCACTATGCAGTATTTGTCTTTTTGTGACTGAAATATTTCACTCAGCGTAATGTCCTCCATAGTCACCCATTTTAGATACTATTTCATGAGTTCTTTGTTTTTCAGTGCTGCATAATATTCCATTGTGTGAATATACCACAGCTTCTCTATCCATTCATTTTTTGATGGGCACATGGGTTATTTCCAACTCTTTGCGATTGTGAACAAAGCAGCAATAAACATGGGTGTGCAACATCATTTCTTGTCAGAGAAGAAAAACCAAAACTTGTCAGAGAAGAAAAACAAAATTATTTTTTCACTAATAGAGAGTGAGACTCAAGCTGAGGGCAGCTGTGTCTGTTCTAGCCCACAGCAGCCTTCCATTGGGTTCTGAAGCTGTCCTGCTTTCTCCCTCAGAGTTGCTGGGGATTTGAACTTTGGGAAAGGAACTGCCTTTGGGTTAAAAGCGCACCTCACTATGCCCCCAGTCAGAGGTAGAAAAGTGTGCCAGCAGACCCTCTACCACCTCCCTAAATGATAGAGGTAGAACAGTGGAAACCCCACACCTTTGTCCAAAGCAGAAAACTTACAAGACCCAGAACAAGACAATGCCATCACATTCTGATTCTCACAGGTTTTACAGTAGTTGAGCCCTCAGAACCATTTATGCCACCCAGAAATTCAAACAAGGCAAGTGGAGTTCAGGTTGCATAGTATACGACACAAAGTTTATGGTTATGCCAGACACAATCAAGCTTTCTGGGATTCTCATTCTCCCCAAGGTTAACCACAATTTGTTGTGATCCACACAGTCAAATGCCTTTGCACAGTCAATGACATACTCTGACATGCTCTTTGCTTTCTGCCAAGATCCGTCTGACATTGGCAATAATGTCTCTAGTGCCAAGCCTCTTCTAAACCCAACTTGTTTTTCTGCTAGTTCTCTGTCAGTTTTACTGTTCCAGTCCTTTCTGGATAATCTTCAGCAGGATTTGGTTTGCATGTGATATGGTCTGTCTTGGAGAGAGTGAAACCAAGTTTCTCCTTGGAGGCTAGGATTTTGAAGCTCCATCTTACATACTTTGGGCATGTGGCCAGGAGGGACTGATCCTTGGAGAAGGATATCATGCTCAGAAGGGTGGAGGGAGAGCACAGGAGAGGAAGACCACAGATGAGATGGATTGACACAGTAACTAGGGCAATGGGGGTAGATGTGTCAGAGTCAGTGAGACTGGCTCAGGATACGGCAGCCTTCAGAGTTATTGGATATAGTTTCACTGTGAGTTGCAAGTGACTTGACGGCACATAAAAGCAGCTGTCAAAACAGGAACAATGGTGGCCTAATGCCAAGACGCCTGTGCAATCTCGAGGGCACACAGTTCAAGGCCACCAGCTTCTCCACTGGAGAAGGATAGGCAGTCTCCTCCTTTGCAATTAACTGCCTCTGAAAACCCGCTATGGGTTGGTTCCGACACAAGGGTACACAACAACAACCCTAAACAAGGAGGGTAGGACCTTTCAAGCATTTGGAACTCCCATAAGCCTGGAGGATACAGTACACATTGAGCACTTAAAACCGAGAGTCCATGAGCTAGGCACATCCCCTACCCTGGATGGAGAAATCCCCCCTCAAGCCCGCTCCTTTGAGTGAGAGACTCTTCTGCTTGTCCTAGGTCCCTGACAAGGCTGACCAAATGCTGATATGGGAGAAAGAGGAGCTGAAGGCCATGAAGAGGAAGATGGAGATAGACATGGAGAAATCGGAGGCTCTGCTTAAGGTCAGGAAGATCTGAGACCAAGTTAGGTGGTTAGAGAGGCATCTTTAGTTATGTGTCAGGCAAACCACTATGATGTTGGGGACTGTAACAAGAGCAAGTCCCTCAACTCACCACACTGTTGTTATTAAGAGCTATGGAGTCAGTTCTGTCTCATGATGCCTCCGTGAGAATAGAACTGTACTCCAAGGGAATTTCAAGGCTGTGGCCTTTTGAAAGCAGATCACCAGGTCTTTCTTCCAAGGTGCTCTTGGGTGGGTTTTGATCATCAGCTTATTGACTAATGGTCAAGGGTTTAAAACAGCGCCCCCTTTCTTCTCCACTGAACCAACGCCATGTTTGCACTTTATGAAGTGGAAAAACTGAGATAGAGTTGGGTCTTAAACTAACAGTGGACACATGCCAAGCCCCCTGCAGCTGCTGAGTTAAGGCCTAGGGAGGTGCTCTGCTAACTCCTGGGCCACACCTCTCTGCCAGTTTGAATACACAGGGGGCCCCCCGTGGACAAAAGATGGGCAATCTCCTCTCTGTTTACAACCTCAGAAACCCAGTGGAGAGTCAACTACCAGTCAGATTTGACTGGATGGCAGTGATGGCAGTGAGTTTGGAAACTCAGATCCTCCCCTATCTCCAGGTCCTGGCGTCAAGTCATTTGAGCACATGGCGATTCTCCAGTGGGTTTTCAAGGCTGGAACTCTCTAAAGGAAGAGATTGTTTATCGTTTTCCGGTAGAGCCCTTGGTGAGCTTCAGCTGCTGCACTTAGAGATGGGGAATTAAGGCTCAGGCAGAGGCAGCCCCACCCAAGGCATCCAGCTAATTCAGCTCAGGTTCCATGTCTCTCAGTGTTGGTCGGTCTCTGTGTGGGCGTGCAGGACCCTCTAGTGGCCCTGGGGCACTGCCACGGATGTAGGGTTGGGGGGAGG